TGTGTGTGTGTGTGTGTGTGTTTTCTTAGTGTCCTACTAACATAAAGTTTCAAAAATTACGCTAGCCTCGAGTACCCTTTTGTTAAACTTGAGGAAGGTGGGACGACCCTTGGGGTTGACTGTGTCACGCATATGGGCCATTCTCTCCACGTAATTCCCATCGGTCTTCGGGCCTTTGAATGGACAGCCGTTCTTGAACGCGGGACACTCAACAGTGGTACCTATAAACTCCGCAATGGGCTCTTTATAAGGGCACTTACCTTTACCTTACACTGGGCACTTGTTCGTGATCTTTCCCGCGGTCAAATTAGGAGTAGGGATGCTGTAGTTCAAAAAGAAAAAGCACATTTAAACTGAGTAATGAAAGTTGACATTTATTCCTACGCAGGAAAATTTCTCTTAACTTCAGCATACCACGTAACAGGCAGCTTTGAGACATCAAGCGAGGGAATAAAGAATTTATTTTACTAAGAGGCAAGAGAATATGATCTAGATCTCTTGTAAGAGATTATTGACCTGATGAAGCACCATATTCTCAGAGCTGACATTATAAGAAGGGTATGGGAATCGGTAATGAGAATGTATATCCGTCCATATTCGCAAAAACATAGCCACAGAATTTGACATGTCACTGATGTCTGATAATCTTGATACAATTATGTAACAGAGCTAGCTTTCGACAATGCTTATCGTAGCTCAAATAAAAGGAAATAACTTTCCTGTATGCCTTTTCTGGCCAGAAAGACTAAATTGAGGGTCCCCAATAGGTTTGGCGGGATGCGGGATTTGGCTTTTTTTCGCCGTGATATTTGGGATTTGAGCTAAAAACAGGGGTGGGAAGCGGGAATTACAATTATGAGCAGGAACGGGATTTCGTGTTTTTATAGGGCTGGGATGCGGGATTTGTAAGGGGAACAGAGTGGGACAGGGGATTTCAATTCTTACATGACCTCATAAATTGTTATTGACCAGCGCAAAAACCACAAGCTGGCAGAAACGAGCCTTTTGTGCTAGAACTAGGTCAGGTTTCAAGTAATGAATAACAACGGCTCTGTACCCTGTCAGGTTCTGTCAAACATAATCATTATCGCTTGACTACGTTAGCACCATGAGCTGTATGAGGTCTATGTGTCCTATTCCTACTATTATGAAAAGGATGCGCGAACAGGAATGCCTTCATTCGGAGACAAAAGTTCTGAGCCCAATCTTTTTCTTTCACTGATACGTGGACAAAAGTAAACCGTTTACGGAGAGAAACGCTATAATCATTTGTGCTTACTTATCTGCGACCCATTGCATTCTTTTGTGATCTTTTATACGATATCTATTTTTAAAAAGTGCCTGTGTTAATAATTAATAATTAATTTAATTATCAATTTAACAAATTGATACTTAACGCAGAAACGTCTTTGAAAAGTGGGCGGGACCGCGATTTACAGGCAAAAAAGGGCGGGATGGCGGGATTAACAGGAAAAAGTGGGCGGGAAAGCGGGATCTGAGAACCCTATTGTGGACCCTCTAAATTCACGGTCGTTTCATTGAATCATGATTTGTACAATTCAGTTAAGAGTGTTTTCAACATGAAATACATGTTTAATCAGTACAAACCTACGCATATCAAAACCCCAGCGGAGAGCTGATCTATAGCTTTCTAAAGCTTTGACTCTGTTTGTGGTCGTGTTTTCCTCGCAAGCAACAATGTCCCGGATGTACTTGAATTTCATCGAGCGGGAAAGTACCTTTCCCAACTACAGCAGCTTTTTTACCCACATCAAAGTCCAGGCCAAATATCGCCAACAGTAGCTAGAACTGTCCGTTTAATTGCACTTCTAAACCCTAATTGATGTGGCTAGAACTCTTTGCAGTCTAAATCAAGTGACAACATTATCGTCACAATGCAAACGGCCTAATTACGGGGCTAAATGGCGACCCATTACTTCTCAGGGCCGTTTCATGTACGATAATGGACGGGGCTTAATAGGAAATCGTTAGACTTGCACCTTCTTTGGACTTGATGATGTCCTCTGGCAGACTTCCTTTAGACAGCAGTTATAGAAAGCTAATCAATCAGCTCCTTCTCCGAGTCACCGCGTGAACTCAAATTCAGACGAGTGGGCTAAACTTAACACCAATTGAAAAAGGGAGGGGAGGAGGGGGTGGCCACAAATAAAAAAACACAAAGAAATGAATGAAACATGCAGCAAGCAGTTCTCAAAATTTCAGGCTAAATAAGCTTTCCAAGCTGCTGCTGCGTTTAGTAAGGAAAAAAAAAAAATACAGGTTACATACACATTATACCTGTAAAATATTCCAAAATTTATGAAATAATAATAATAATAATGATAATAATAATAACAATAATAATAATAATAATAATAATAAAGTTAAAATTTATCCTTATTCGACTTCAGCTCTGTGATATATAATTCAGGACAATTCAAAATCGATATGCCTTTTAAGGCATTGAAAAACAAATATTAGTCTAGTATCTCCCATAATTTAACCAATTTAGCCAAAATGAAGGTCTTATTAAGACAGAGAAGGAAGTAGTAAGACAGATGAACCAACAGCAGTATTTTGGAAGACGCTAATGTCGCAAGTAGCTACAAGTATTGAGTTCATCATTATCAGGAACCAAGTGGGCTGGTCCCCGTGGATGACATTTGAAAAGGTCGGCGATGCTCGTCGGGCGTCTCGCTTAGGGATGTAAATCATGGACTATTTATGGCTATCGAGGTATCTTTCAGGGCTGCATTCGAAGAAAAAATAAACATGTGTTAGGTCAATTTTCAAGTGGTTTGTTTTAGGGTCAAATAATACTCGAGCCGCACCCAGATAGTTTCTTTGAACAAAGGCAAAGAATAACTGATATCTTATACTGAGCTCAAGTTAAACATTGCCAAGATAATGACGTCATGAGGACGTGACCACTAAAAGTCCTAAATCCTATTGCTGTTTACCTCTGGTCTTGCTAGGGCAAAAAGACAATGTTTCTATGGGAAAAAAGTTTAAACTTCGCGGAGGGTCTTAACCAAGGGACGAGACTTGCTTGGTCATGCCTCATGCTTGAGTTCCAAAAAGATCTTGTACCGCGAACTGACTGGCGGGAGGCGAGACCAGGGTGATGGTGGAAGGCGGCACAATCCCGGATGGGGACCTCCCATATAATAAAGATGGGGTACTCATCATACCTTTTAGGGGTTAAAAAAGCAGTTTTGGTACCTCTTAGGGTGTTCAGCCTCAGAGGATCCACAGCGGCAGCTTTTGCGGTACCTTGTAGCCGTACTGAGGCGAAAAAACTATGACAGGAAATAATGTGCTGTGTTAGAATTGGTACCCCTTAGGGGCGAAAAAAATTTCAAGCCACGCCCACAAAACAGGGTCTTTGTACCTCTTAGGGGTTCTTTTCAAAATTTCCGAGGAGTACCCCCGTCCTTTTTATATGGGAGTAACCCTCGGGGGCAATTCCGTGTTAATACCGAGAACTGGAAGCAGCAAGCCAACCGCAGTCTTAGCTGGAGATATGCCATCCATAAGAAAGGAAAAGAAAGACATGCAGATTCAAGTTTTACTTCGAATTCGGCTGCTCCGTCCTCTCCGTCAATAACGATTTTATAAACTGAACGGAACAATACCAAGTCGACATCGCCCGTTGCTCGAGTTGTTTGCTAGGAGCGGCCTGGGGAACTGGGCTAAATATTCTAGAAATAGGCAGTGATTACATCTATCCGGTATTTACAGCTGTATAATCATTCTAGTTCGGCGCGAAAGAAGCAGCAATTTTAGAGGGGTTTCTTTTGTCACGAGCGCTACAAAATACGCCATGCAAAACGCGGCTGACGCACTAGACAACCGGAAGTGGTCCGTTCTTTCACCGACGTCTTCCTACTTCTGGTTGTTTTACGTGGAAATAAAAACGTGCTTGCAGTTATAATTTGCTATATTTCTGAAACATGGAAAATTAGTACAGGCTATAAGATTTGTAAAAGATAGTTAAAGAGATTATTCTTAGTAATAGATTTTAAAGACGGTAAAACTGGAAAGAAACCAAAATCAGTAACATGCTAAAGGTCAGGTTTTGTGATCATTTGGGAAAGAAGACACGTGATTCATAATAACAGGATGACGCAATTAGAACATTGAACATGCGCAAGAAGATCTCGTGACTTGCTGGAAGGTTTGGAAAGGACGGGCAAAGTTATTTTGCGGGAGAGTGCTTTAGATCGAAGGGAATTTACACTATTTGCAGCCAAAACAACACAGAATGGAGCCGGCAGAAACTGACGTATTATCCACTGAGTCAAGGGCGATTCCTTCCAGACGAATTATAGTCAACGACCCTGGCCAAATGCCGATTGATTATTCCACCACTCCTGGAGGGACCATATTTTCCACAACTCCAGGCGGTGAGTTTTCTGGTTATTTTCGGTGCTTTTCTTCTAGCATAGCAAGATCATCAATCAAGCACTTCGTGTTGAAATTGTTTATCTACTTTTTGGCTTCTGGTGAGAGTGTGGCGTTTAGATAAAGTCGTTTTTTTTTCTCGTACATTCGTTGCGGGACTGGTTGTACTCGATCCCTAAATAATGACTACGTTGCAGAAAGTGTACATTCGTACATGCAACGAAACAGGAGGCGTTTTATGAAAGCTGCCTTGTCGAGCGTGAGACAAGTGTGTCGATGTTAAAATGCTGATCGAGTGAATTCTTTTGGCGAGTGAATTCTTCACTGATCGAAGACGAAGGAAGCTCAGCATAGTTGAAGCCTTGGTTTGTTTTTAGGCACGTAGTTTTGGGTTGAAGCAAACTTTCGTTTCGTCGGTCACGTAAGATTAAGTTTACATGTTTGCACACCAACTCGACTCAATATTGCACTTGTAAGGACGTTTGTAAAGCGTTTGGTCAGGGAAACCTACGAAAAACGAGTTTTTTAAACTCTTCTAACGCCCGCAAAGTGCAGGGCTTTCGATTTTCAAAACAAAGGCAAAGCGCTATTTTAATGTCGTCATAACCTTTCTACGTTGCGTGGAATCGGATTGCTTAGATTATTGCAGAGCTGGCGAGCTTGTCGATGGAAAGCCCGACTTCTTGAAGTTATTTTTTCGTCTTTTAACGTGCTCTCTTTATGGAACGTGTTGTTGCAGGGCCTAGTGTTTATGTTTGGTCTTTTTTTACTTTGGCTTCGCAATACGCGGCACGTATTGTTTCGGGGATGTAAACAATTCCCACGTGTTCTGCCGGGGCTAATGTATTCAACTCATTTGAAATTTAAAACCTATCTTTGATTGAACGATTCGTTCCCGGATGAACCTAAGCCTTTTGTCTTCAAGCAAAAACGACTGCAAGGCAGCTACAAACACATACGTAGGTGCTACGTTTTTTGTTTTCTTTTCGAAAAAAAAAAAACGCCTTCATGTTGCAACTGTCTTTGACAATTCTAGCAGCTTTTGTAATTTTCATTTGGCAGCTTGATCATCTGCCTCTGTGATTGCTTATCATGGACCTTTCTGATCCTCTCTGCAGCTTGATATTTTGGAAAATTGCAACAAGATTGTTTTGGTGAAACACCATGAATGCTGTTCAGATGTATATGCTAAATTGGTCGCAAGGGTGTGGAACACTCAATTTTCTAGCTTGCAAAATAGCTGGTTTTTGTTCTCATATTTCTGGGAATAATTTTTAACTTAATTTAGAACATGTTAGAATGAACATAGGTGCAAATTACTTTATCTTGACTGACTGAAGCTATCATAGGTGTTGTTTATAAGCTGGAAGGCAGCATGCTTCTAAAGGGTTTAGTGGACCATTCCAGAAATTATCCACACCCAACCACAGACGGCTTCCATACTTAAACCCTCCTTGCCTTCAGAAATGTCCACAATCTCATACCCCCACGCCTTCTGAATTCCGAAATCATTAAATCCCTCCCTCTCCCTTCCAGCTTTAACACTCTAGAATTCCTTGTTTGACGCCCTACAACTTCCAAAGGTAGAGATTGCATGCTTCAATAACAACCTTCCAGACATTTTTGCTGATAATAATTATATTTTCAAATTGAAAAAACTCTCTACAGGGCTTCAAAATTGTGACAGATACGATCACGTGCATCCATGGCTAAATGTTTGGACTCTAAATATTCCTCCACTTCAGCTGCAAGTTTGCAACTAGTTTGCACCAAAACTGATAAAGAAATAAAAAATTCTTGTGTTTTGTGTCTTAGTTACTGTGGAAATTTGAACATGTGTGGGCAAATCCTGCCTAATTAAGGTTACTTCCCACCTTCGCAGGTTTCCTTCGGGAAAAAAATCGTACACACGCCAGTTTCAATAAAACCCCAACAAACTATATATCAGAAGAAAGCTTAAAAAATGTACTTTAAGAAAAAAATACAATTTCCGCAATGTTTTCTTTCAGGAAGTGTCAGGAGGCGGTAAGGCGTGAAACGACCGAGGCTTCTTCTATTGAATTTATCGGGTATCGGATTCCGCAGTACGAGNTAACGATATTCACTAGATTGGAAGTTATTACAGTGGTTTTCTATTATGAATATATGCATTGTTGGCGAAAATAACCATGGCAGGTCCCTGTCTTATGGACGTGTGTTCAACGCAAATGATAATAATCTGAAAGGAAATTCATCAACTTTTGGGCATCTGGAGTTTGATGTGCAAGGTTCCATGTGTTATTGGTTTTCTTCTGTAAATAAATGCACACACATGCCTAATCGATCAATGCTTGTCATGTGTCCTGCTTTCTGAAGTCATCAATAGTCTCATCAGTTTGTTCATGCTTTTGCACTCGTGTCTGTCCCCTCTGGAAATCCCAGACCTGAAACCCCCGCACCTTCAGAATTCCAATCGTAAGTACCCCCCATGCCTTTGGATTTCCAGTTCTAAGACCCCCCCTCACCCTTGCCCTTGGAATTCCAAAAAGCTGTTTGTGGTATAGGTGTCCCCACATGGTAGAACAGTCAAATTCATGACAAGTCAATTACTTAGAGTTGAAGATTCCACAAGATTTATGTAAACCAGGAGGTCAATGCTCAATACAAAATGGCTGGCCGAGTCCCTCTATTTGGTCACAAGACCGCGCGCCCGCGATCAATCAGATAAATCACCACGACAACTGCTGAAATGGTTAAACATTAACCTGTTAAATATTCGTTCCTTAGCAATAGGTGTGGTTATTTTCTGAAATCTCCCATTTCAAGTCCCTTTTCTCTTCAACTGCCATCTAAGTTATTCACAACAATAATAGCATTTGACTTTTTTGTTATTTAAAATGACTCATCTTCTATATCATACAGTCATGTACTTGTTGTTTTCTTTGTCATGCAAGACAACTTTGTCTCAGTAGTGACATCTTTTCTACAACTAGCAGGAAACTTTGTACCTGTGACAATGAAAAGAGATTTGTTTTGTAGAACACGACAATGCCCCTACTTCCACAGTAATATAACTCGCTTGCAGCCTCTAACAGTGCATTATGTTTAAAACCTAATTTGTGAAATCATGAAGCAAATAATCAAATATTGTGGACTGTACAAAAGCAGCCACCAATTGAGTGAAAAAAAACAAACTATTTACTGGCCCTGAGGGTACTCCCTACTATGTAAGTTGTATATCAAAAGGCAATATATGTGTGGCATCAAAGGGTATAATGGGTTTTGAACTTTTTTAGTCTTAAAGAGGGTTGGTTCTGCATTCTTGCCAGGAATGTGGTGAAACACGTTTCTCTGCCTCAAATGTTCATGCAAGTGGAAGCTATTCCATGGCAGTTAGCAGAGAAGAGGTCTGTCATAGGGAATTGATTTTAAGGGCAAAACTAAAATAGGGTATTAAAAATTGCATATTTTGGTCTGGAATAGGAAAAGAAAGAATTACACTTGCACACCTCCAAACATTTTTCAATGATCTCATTAAGCACATCTGTAACAGTCATGGTCACTTCCAAGTCTACACTTCTGACTAAACCATGAAGTTTAATACTGCTTACAATGCATAGAAATAGTTGGAAACCATTATTTGAAGGAAAATTAGTGGAATTCTCAGGGCTGGGCTCTAGAAGTTCCCAGGTGCCACAGGCGAGTAACTTTTGCCTTTGAGTGACTGGAAAAACTCACTCTTTTGATATATGTCTAACTGCTTAGCACTCAGGATTTCATGGCTAGGAAGCTTTGAGCGATTGCAATTTTTCTTAGACCACAGCCTTGATTCTACTTAAACAATGAGATTGTTCAGTCTTGATGTCTATGAGTTGATTCAACCTTCAACCTTCAGCCTTCTGCCTCAACAACTATCAAATCAGGGAAATGTTGAGCTCATATTCTATAAATATCTGTGTTTATTCCTCAGGGACACGCATCATATATGAGCGCAAGTTTTTACTTGAACTGCGCAACTCTCCATTGTCGCGCACTCCTCCACGGAACCTTCCACTGATTCCTGGTGTGACTTGCAATAACAAGGTAAAGCCTGAGAGTCGTAAGGACAATGGTGTTGTTGCTGCCACAGAAACAGAGAATGACAAGAATGATCATGGTAAGCAAAAGCACTGAAGTGGCTAAAGGATTTGTTATGTTACTTATTATAAGTGCCTTTGTTGTTAAATGGAATCTCAAAATTATAAACAACAGAAGATAGAGTTTTCAAGATTGGGCAAGGTTGAGAGGAATATCAAGTCATCTATATGAAGGTGAAAGATGTCAGTCAAACATAATGACTTCTGTTCTATCGACAATGAATCCCTTAGAAAACAAAGTGTTGAAACAGAACTTGGTAACATGTTCAGGTAATTTTGAGAACTCGGTAACTTGTTCAGGCAATTTTGATTTAAATCCAAGTGGCTCCAATGCAAATGGTTGCAATGATGGAGTTGCACTGCCAGAGAAGAACATCCATTTTTACTGGAAGTATCTCGTAAAACTTTATTGATCTGGCTTCTTCAGTTCCCAGACTATTTGTCTTCCACATGCCTAATCCCTCTTTTAGTCTTTAAAAATATGAACGCTTCCCAACAAACAATGCCTGGTAGCAGGTCAGCATGTTAAAAAGTTAGCTAAAGAATATTGATTTTCTGTTTTTAATTCTGTCTTCAGCAGAACATGAAGAACCGCAATTTCAGATGGACATATAATGGCAGCTGGACAGATGCTTACCACCCCATGTTTATTCCAATGACCATTGTTTTTAGATTACCCAGTTGCACATTGTTGAACACCACTATAAATGTCAACATTGAGTGGGTGTAAATAGTTATGTTAGGTGTGAAGCTATTGAATGGTTGACAGGAAAATCAGTTGTGGTGTCAAACTTTAAAACTGGTTGTCTCTTGTCAAAACAAAGAATGTCAAAAAAGGAATGACTGATGTCACCTCATATTGTACATAGAATTCCTTTCTCTTGACTCTGTCAGAGCAATGCCCAAATAAAATGTTTGGACTCAAATATGCAGATCAGAAGTGTCTTCATTGTTTCTGAACTGTGTGCTTCCTTGTACATTATTTTTTCCTTGCAGAAGCAGTAGATCCCACATAGACCAAAATGGCTCATTTTTGCTTGTTTTCAGGTGAAAGAAAACAAAAACCATCATATCAGTGGTCACCTTTAGTGAGGTGGCTTCTGTCCATGTATACACCCTCTGGCTGATTCATGGTACGAGAAGTGCCTTTCTTAAGAGAGACTCTAAGCTTATTTCTATTTTTACTGAAACCATAGCCTTTCTGCCAGGGAATACTGAACAGGAAATCCTTTATGTGATGTTTTATATCCTTTTCATACAACAAATTAATGCACTGGCTTCCCCAAATAACCACCTCTTTTGAACCGGATGATTGACAGAAGTTTTTCTCTCCCCTAAATTTAAGAAATTTTCATCTATAAATTAAAGATGTATTTTAATGTGACTAAAACTGCAATATTTGTTTAAATGTTGTTTTGCAGCTATTGGTACAATATGGGAAACATGATTGTCACATGTTTGTAGCATATCCAATACTGTGAGAATATCTAATATTTTCTGTTTCCTCTTGGTACTCTTTTGCCAATGAATTGTTATTTTTTGGTTTAAAACAATCTCTTTCCAATTGGAACAATCACTCTTTCTCACCTCCAAAAACATATTTCCTCAGTGCAATTATTGGATGTAATATGATATATAAATTAAATTGCAACAAGCAATCTTTGTATAAGGGCGTGGCATGTGATCAAAAAGTGTCATTATGCAAGTGAATATATGAAAGATCATATATTTGAACTGCAGAGAAAAATATGAAGACATGATTGATCATAAGCAGTTGTGAAATTGAAGCCTGAAAAAAAAAAATATATTGCCTTCCCTGGGTGTTAGCAAGGTATCTGACTGATTTTTATTATTTTTTATTTTTTTTATTTATTTTTTAATTTTATTTATTTGCGCCCACACAAAAAAATAGAATTAAAAACTAAATATAAATTAAAACAAATTTTGGGGAAAAGTGGCGAGGAGACTGAGGAGGAACTTTTAAGCTTATGTGTGATAATTTTGGTCTCCTGGTTAATAGTAACTAAGTCTATTACAAGCTTTAAAATTATAACTATTTTCCATAATGTTAAATGAGTAACAGTTATTTCCCATAAGCAATGGTTATTTTTTTTACATATTAGTTTCCGTGAGAGAACGGCAACAGAGTTGGTGATTTCATTGACAAGGGAGTTATTGAATTTGTGTCCTTTGAAAAAATAAGACCTTAAAAATTCTAAAGTTTTTCTGACAATGAGGTACATGAAAAGCGTAAGAGGTTCTGATACTGTGATTGTGGATTGGTTGTTTGGAAGGAAATGGGACCAGTGCTCCCTGTGTACTCCTTGTAATTTTTCACCAACAGCATCGAATGGCCAGCTGCTCTTTTCACTACGAAATGTCATTGTTTCTTTCTCGGGGATATAATTCATGGTAGGCCACCCATATAGTCTCCCTGCAGTTTGCTTCTATTTACTGCCGTTTGCTTGCGGTTAGCATTTAAATATTGTGTTTACTTGCAGTTGGCATTTATTTACTACTGTTTCCTTGCGGTTAACATTTAATTACTACTGTTTGCTTGCGGTTAGCATTTAAGGAGTAAAGGGGAAGGCAATTATATGTGGCCTACCATGAATTATCTGCCCTTTCTCGGGGGTGGAAGGGGTCGCCATAGTACATCTTTATTTGTGATTATCATTGTATATAATTAACAGCAGTTATTCATATAGAATTCTTACACCGCCTGGTAAACTATCCTGATCAAGAAATTCCCACGGAAACTTGTCAGAGCCAGGCAATGTAAACCTAATATTTGTATAAAATTCAAATTGGTGAGCTAAGGACTTCCTCTGCCAGGCGGTCCAAAGTTTGTCGATGAAACCGTGAAGAAGCCAAAATTCGGGAGTGAATGACGCCGTTGCATGATGGGCCATGTTGCCTCCTACACAGTCGTGAAATTTGGTGTGGTATTGTTCACGAATTGCTTTTTCAAACATAGTGAAATTCTCAAGCATGAGTAAATTCCAGGTGTCCTCGAGGTTTGGTAGACTGCACGAGTAATTGAAGTCCCTTTTCAAACAGCCACCGCCCACGCACCAAGGTAAACGAAATTCGTTCTTTCTAAACGGACCGTCTATCACGCATCTTGCAGGCAAGACACCGTTGCCGCCTAGACCGTAAGGAGCTGGACTCCATACAGAGCCTTGTGTCCAGTGTACAGAGATGCTGCTCCAATTCCAGTAAGGAATTGTTACTCGACAGTCAATTTGACGAAGGAAATTTTCAAATTCCAGCAAATACCATCTGTGCCAAGGAAGAAATATTTGAGGCATGTGATGAAGGAATTTGCTGGGCACTCTTGAATGCAGGGTTGTTAGTATTTCGTAATCGCTCCGGTATCGAGGGCTAGCAGCAGCTAGTTTGAGAACGTCTATGAAACGCCGTCGCTCTGTTAGGCTCATTGCGGTAAATTCTTTTCGTACTCTGTAGCAAGTAACTAGATCACCATCTTTGCACCGGCATTTCCTCTCGCATTGGTCGGTAATGGATTCCCTGTCTTTGCACGGTACATTGATACCTGCGAGAAAAGTAGAGATGAGATACACTTTCATTGGGCAATTTCATATATTGTTTGTACTGATTTTCACCAGGAGAGAGAGCTGCAATGAGACAAAAGATTGTTGAGTATTTCGATTTCAACTTGAGTTACGCTTTTCAAGTTACTCGGGTCTCCTCGCGCCATGTAGCGCATAAGGCCCCCTCGAGGTCCCTCCAGGGGCGAGGCTCAATCTTTCCCTCAACGCTTTTTCACTAAGACGTCTTATAAATTTGTCTGTCATCATTGTCAGTTGGGTTTTATTTTACCCACTTGGAGAACGACATTAAATGCACTCAGCTAAACATGGTCAAGCGAGGATGAAGAGTAAGAGAGTTAAGTTGATCTCCCATATTCTCAGAGTAATACCTAGTTAATACCTAGTTAATACCAAGTTATTTTTAGAACCTAACCCTAACCCCTTTTCAGAAATCCTAGAAGTAGTCAATCTTTATACGCAAAGTTTTCTCACGTGAGTCTACCGTTGGACAGCCAAAACGGCTTATACCAGTAGTTACACGTATTTTGGACGAAAATATCTAAGCAATGCGCTGGTAAGACAACAATTTGCGTGAGGACCGCATACTACATCGAAAAATTGCTCGAAAGAGATTGTCATAGTAATGAGCCGATATGAGGGATATAAACTATCTTACCATCATCTTCTCTTGACATGACGCGCAATGTCTTGGTTTAAAAGGTACCGGTGAAGGGGTACTGTCGACTAGGCTAAGGGACGGACCATTATTTTTTTGAGGGAGGAGGGGGGCTTGGGCAATTTCCAAAAAAGAAAACATCCTGTTCAGCAAATACGGCGGAAAAAAATCGTGCAAGGGGAGCCATGAAGAGAAAAAATCGAGCGAGTGCTTTCTGCTAACTACTATCCAGGTCCTGCGTGTTTGACCTTTTAAAGAAAATCTTGCACAAGTTATTACTCACCAAAAATAATCATGCACAGCCCAACGGTGAGAAAAAAAAGGTTCATTCCCCAGAATGAAATGGCCCACCACCCCCTCCTCCACCTTGTCAATAAAAGAATGGTCCGTCCATAACAGCCAAGAACCCAGCAGCACCTCCGCTTACCTCTCTTTTTCATTCCCTCTTTTGTAATTTATTCATTTATTTCTTTGTCATCATATTTTGTTGCGGAGAATGTTCCAGCAGTTACCAATGATGAGTTTGCAAGTGAATATATCAAAGATCATGTATTTGAACTGCGGAAATCAGTGATCGCCGCAAATGATGAATTTAGTTCAAATGTGCAAGTACCTACTACATAGGCTTGTAAGGTTTCGACATCAAGATGAGGGCAGGTGTCAAATGCTTTAGAAAGGCTTAATGCTGTCAGCAGGACATAGTAGCGAAATGTCGTCAAGAGATTACCAGGGCAACGAGGTACAGAAAGGCAATCAATTGTGACCTGAAAGATATTTTGTAAAAAGAAACTGATTATGAATAATCTGATGGTGATAAATTTCTGTTAAAGGTTATACCGAGTCCATTGAAACTTTCTCTTGAAAGCTAAGTCACTATATATGAATTGATTTTGTTATATAACAAAAAACCAATTTATATATTCATATAATTATATGCGTAATATTCTTGAAATAAGGGAAGGTTACATGTAAAATAATGGTTTATTGAAGCGATGAAAACACCAAATGTTTACTAAGCCTTATATTTGAACAGTAACCGGCCGTCAAACAGGACCATTTCACCGGGATGAAAAGGCTTTGGAGATGCTTCCATCTGTACGCGTTCTTCATCATTAGCGGGTGTAATGGGTGTGACTGGAAAGCGAACGATTCGCGAAGACAGAGCTTGCTCGAAAACGTTTGTGGCCTACCTGGAAAGCATCGCAGTCTTTGTTAGAGAGGTTTTTGTCCCCATTTTCAAGAACTTTCAACAGCCCTCGTGAGTAACCTGAGCATTCGTGAATCACGAGTGCTTCACAAACTTCGTTTTTCTCAGATAAAACAGCAGTTCTCCCAAAGAAAACGAAGAGTGAAAGAAGTAAAGTCTGCATGATTGTCAGTCGAGCGGGGGATACTTTGAATACGGCGCCGGTATATCAGTCGATTGATGTGTGAAAGGGAATTGAACGTTGTTTAAATTTTCGTTGTTTTCAACTCAAGAGAAAGTAATTTCCGCTCCGAGAGGAAAAAGCGTAGCAAACAATTAATTTTTGCAACATCGTTTATAAAATAATTAATAACAAAGGACTCAAGGCCGACTAATTTCTACTCATTCTGTGGAATTAAACTGATCCAGTGCATTTCGCGCTAAGCTTCGTAGTCATTTGTAACAGTTGCCTGGGTTCTTCGTTTATTCGTCACGCAGAATGTCATATTTTGATTAAATCTGCACCAGGAAACCAGAGACTACCTCATGATGTGGAGTGCAAAAACTGCTGGGCGGGACGGAACCGTTAAATTAAAATCTGCATGACTGTGACAAAATATGATTGAAAAGTTATCCGGAGGCGAAGGAAAGACAGGCAAGCAAGGCTACACAAGGTTACGTATCTCTTGATTGCTGAGTTTTTGATTGGCCCTCAACAGAACTATTCGGCGCTAGTGTAGCAGCTCTCGTAAGTTTGCAATTCTATTTGTCGTCATTGCAGCGGCTGTTATTGTTTTGGGCCTAGTATGTTGTTTGTTCTGTTGTCCTCTCAAAGGGTTTCAGGCCATTCATGTCAGACCTTACGAGAGCTGCAACATGACCCAAACTATTTCATTTCGACTATTGTTTTAATTTAGTTAAATCCTTTCATTAAGAAATGGTTTTCAGCATATCGCGGCTTTATTACTGCTAATAAATTAATTTGAACTTTCTGGTAAATTACGGCTAGCTATCGTAACAACACGTAATGTCTGACTTATTCCTATTAAATATAGCATTTAATGGTAGGAAATTAGATAAACAAGGAAGGTGGAAAAAAATTATCCTGGCCAGTTTATGTGTAAATCAAAAAAAATATACGGTATCAAACACAGACTAACAAAGCTGGGTTTGTTTTTATGGTATGAGCCTATATTATAATCAAAAGCCAGCAGGGACTTTCTATTGATTTTTCGTCAGCCGGGTTCCTTCAAGAGGTGATTACACTAGCATATTAATATTCGGTTCCGCCTTTATCGACAAGTTTTATCGTCACAGTGCCTTTTATTCGGTCTTCTTTCATGATTTAGTTCTGTAAGCCTGCCTTTGCTTTCGGATTAAACACACGCTAGTTCAAGATTTATATATTTTTACAATTTTCTTCGGTTGCCATTGGTGTAAAATTTTATAGAGTTCTAATATTGCCATGCAATTTTAAAGGATTTAGTCAATCTCTGCTATACTTTGTTCGTCACCTAGATTTGCTAAAATATTTTAACAAACTTATTATCACTGTTTGAATATCAACCGATCCTCACGGTGCCTGAAGTGCTATGTTCCTCTTTGATTTTCTCAATTCATCTACTCAAGTTGTGTCTCCAACTTGCTTACGTCACAGGAATAGAAGGGAATAGTCTATTTTTATTGACCGGAAGATTATAAAATTCCATCATACTTTGGCTATCATGAGCTTTGAATGCTGCACGGAAAGCTACTTTGATCACCTTTCGGAAACGTTTTAAATTAGAGATGGAAGCTTGTGCTTTAGAAATGTACTATTTTCTCCAAACTCTGCATGCTGTTTTGAAAAAGGTGAATAATTTCTTGCGGTGTCCTTCGGTCACCTTACTTTGCAGGAAAAAAGAAACAAAAAAAAAACTAACCATTGAATAGGAAGCAAACACTGAACTATTCAAAGAATCGAACGTACAGAACGTCACATTAAAATTCTTGTTTGCCCCACATTTTATCGGCTTTATGTATACTATAAACAAACTAATGTACAGTTCAGTCAGATGGAGGTATTGTTCGATGCACAGGTTAACTGCAGTGGCCATGTTAACGAATTTTCTGCCTATTTTATACATTCTGAGAAAATCGTTTCCAAGTTTTGTCCAACGGTTTCATTTGCTGTTGCAATTTTTCTCTGCCGGAGCACCAAATAGAAGAGGTTACCTGTAATGTGTTCCTGTTTTGATTCGCCTGATTTGTCTCTATAAAGTTGTTTAAAACTAGTGGAGTGTATCAACCTTGCTATACAG